CAGATTTATCTGAGCTGCTGAAGCTTGTAACTCCTTCAGGGGAGCCATAAGTGTCTTGGTGGCCTCAGGTTTTGAGGACGAACTGCTCTATACACGTGTGCCATATTTCTTCCTTTTCTTATTGATGGATTAAAGTGGAATCCAAGCGATAATCAGTAACTTGAGATTTTCCTGTACTTTTTTCCTGACTTTTCAGTAACTTGTCTTCGTGGTGTAGTCATATCCAGGAGTACTGGTTCACCAATGACTGATACAGAAGTCTTTATATTACAATCACTGACATGAGACACATTCACTGCACTCAGATGATCTACATTTCACTAACTATGTGACTTCCAGCACCAACTGGCTGCACCTGTGTTGAATTAGTCACCTTAAAGAGGGTGGATACTTATAAAATCACTTGTGTTTTTTAGTTTTGATTAACTGACACTACTTTCTAGAAATATGTTTTAGAGGCAAATAAAGCTGAATTAAATTGATCATGATTCAGTGTCCTGCAGGTAGACCGAATGTTTCTGAAAACAGATGCCCTCTAAAAGCTATGAAATTTGACATTTTGTTCCTGCTTTTTGGCTTGTCCCCAGAAAACTTTTTTTTTTGTGGACTGGAGCGTGAGAGTCTCCCTGACAGCCTCCTGCCTGCTGCGAAGCCTCATAAAACCCAAAGCAGCTTCTACGTGGAGCTGCAGCGTCGCTCCGGATGTCTTCTGCAGGAGCGCTGTTGACCTGAACAGCGTTGGACGACTCCCACAAAGCCTCACGAGGGAGGAGAAACAGCGGGTGATAACTAATTACAGAGAGAGCCCTCCAGCCTCCCCCTCTGGGCCGAGCCAATGTCAAGTGGTGAAAAATGCAGTGTTCTTGTCGGAGAGGAGGTTCAGGACGTGTGAAATTACACTATGAGTTGCTGCAGCTTGACAATCTGACTGGTCAATTAAGAGGTTTGTGAAACTCATCCAGCTGTGTGAATCAAACGCTGGCATTAAGAGAATGCAGCGAGATAACAATCAAGTTTGTTTTTTTTATTTATTTTTGTCAGCACAGCGCATATAAAGATCCGCACAGAGCCGGAAACGCTTATCGCATCATCTCAGGGCGGCGTTTGTTATCGTACTTAACTGCTTGAGTGCTTTGACATTTTATCTTTACCTGAGGTAGATATTTAGTTGGATGTTACACAATATAATAAGAGTGTTACTGTCTTACATGAACACAGTGTAAGATGCATCTAAGTGTGTGTATGTACAGTATACTTTTAAGAGAAGAGAGCACACCCCTGTGAAATATCACCTAAATGTCAAGTGATTCAAAACCACACAGATTCAAATCTGTATATTTTTTTTAGTACTTCATATATCCACCTTTATTTTGGACGACAGACTCAAATTTCTGCAGAGATGCTCTGATATTCTTTGTTGTTTTCAGTCGTTCTTTGCTGGAGGGGTTGTGTTGCTCTGCCTTTAAAACACCCCAAAGTTGTTCTATTGAACTCAGCTCAGACCACATTCATGTCCAGGTCACTGTTGTCACTGTTGTTCTTCTGTAGAAACTCTTGTGTGATTTTGTGCTTTGGATGGTAATGGAGTCATCTTGTCAGACAGTATTTCTGTCAGTATTCACAGACAGTCATGGTGCATCTATAAATATCATCCCCCTGATACTTTCGCACTCATGCAGCCCCATGTCATGATACTTCCACCTCCGTGCTCCACTGTCAGGACGATGCATTCACTGTGGTAGTCCTGGTTAAGTTCACAGCAAACATGCTGGACTCCATCTGAGCCCAACACATTTATCTTGGTCTCGTCTATGTGCTCCAAATATTATTCAGGCTTCTTTTCATGTTTTTTAGCAAAGATTCATCTTGCAATGTTGCTGAGGTTGATGTTATATAATGTCGGTCACGCTGTCTGAGCTTCAAAGACACTCTGATTCCCACTGATAAACGTTGTACCAAGTCCAAGGCAGCAGCCGTTTGTTTTTCCCAGCTGAATTGTGAATGTAACTCTGTCTGTGGAGTCATTTCAGGTGGACGACCGCTGCAGCTCTGATTAGTGGTACTACGGCTCCTTCTGAACCTCCTGATTACTGCTGACACTGTATTTCTACTGATTTTAAGTTGATTTTTCTGTGTGTTTTCCATCTTTGTGACGTCTCATAATTGGATTTTTAGCAAATCTGTTAAATCACTGCTTAGTTCTGGTGTTCACAGCTCATTTTATAAGTTTTTGATCATTCACGAAAACCACTAGTCTACTTGTCAGCTTGGGAAAGGTGTTAGAATTTTCAATAATTTCACATTTAAGTGATACTGCACAGGAGTGTTGTCCTATCTGTTGTATACTGTACATTTAGCTGCAGTACTAACATGTCCGTGTGTTTGTTTACCATGTCGTAGGCGTTGAGAACTTTGCGCAGCAGCTCCGGTACCGGACCCTGAGCCTCCATGGTGGGGTAAGTCTCACTCAGGTCTACCGTCACCCTCAGCGACCGCTCGCTGTTCATCAGCCACGTGGACACCGTAAGGATGCACTGCTTCATGTTGGCTGCGGGGGTTAGCCCACAGAGCTCCTTAAAGGACACCATGGCATTCTGGGAAGAAAATAATAAAGAAGAGGAAATACACATTTAAAAATTCTGCAAGTGATACTTAAGTAAGAGACGGGTTTTCTGTGATGCGATACAGACCCTGTTCCTATTCACTGATTTCAAGATGCTCTGGTAAGAATCATAAAGGAAAATCAAGTGTTAAATGCGACGCTATAAATAAATCAATGCACATAAATATTCTGCATGTGGCTTCCTCTTTGTCCTTGTACGTCCTTGTGTTCTGAATTGCTCCCACTACAATGCATTTCTTTAACAGCGAAACCAACCAAAGCGACGTCAGATGTGTTTAACTGAAGCGTATTCCTGCGGAGATATGCGACTTGGCAAATAAAATGATTGAGGTCATAATGGAATGAAAAATATTGCAACCACTTTTTGCAGATGACCTTGGGTTGAGGGGGATTTGATGAGGGGAATCGTGATACTCCCGCCTGACCAGAAACCAGATAAGACACAGCAGCACTGACTGTTTGTCTTGGTGGCACTAAAAATGATCCATTTCCTGTTCGTTCGACGGAGAATCCGCAGCCAAACCGCAGCCTGCAGGTGTTAAATATTCAGTCGCTCATCCATCTTACTTTCTCCCTTCTCTTTTCTCACCTTTTCTTTAATTTGTTGTTCTTCCTAAGTCTGCCTATCTTGGTGCAAATATCAGGCTATCAGAAAAAAACGATCAAATGCGTAGGATATACCACACAGACCGTTTTTGGTTTTTGCTGCTCAGTAAAGGATACAGCATCAATCTTATTTTTCCTCAGAGCCAGCTGTGGCTCAGTTAGTAGGACTTCCTCTCCACATGTTGAAGTGTCCTTGAGAAAGACATTGAACCTTACTGCATGTGCGACCAAAAATCTGTCAAGTTTGACTAAACATTTCCATCAGTTCTCCTGACATTCAGCAGGACCGACTGTATTTCTGAGCAGCACCTGGTTTCAAGTAAATCCGACATCAGAACGCCTTATTTCCTTATTTTTAAGGTAACTCTGGCCTCACAGCTGTCTGAGCTGCTAACTGAAGGGAGACTAGAGGCTTCTCTGTGCACAGCCGACTAGCTACCATCTACCGATCTATGTGAAACGTTTAAGGAACATCTGTTTTTTGTAGCTTCAGAAAACAACCTGGGTTACACTCTCTGCCTCTGAACTGCGACGGTCTTTCCTGGTTACAACGGAAGTAAAAAAATGCAACAGAAGTACAGAAATGCTCAGAAAGATGAGATGATTTTCAGGAATAAATGCAGATTATTCTCATGTTTTTTTGGTTTTGTCCTGCACAGTTTTGGGAAAATGTTTAAAAAGCTATTTATCATTGTGTTCTGGGCTACAATACACCTGAGTCATCTATAATACTCTACGCTGGCCATATAACAGGAGATATTGAACTAAGAGAAGACAGATATTTGATTAAAATTCAGTTGGCAGCTTGTAAAAACACCACCACAAAGAGATTTTTTACGTCCCCTTTTCTCGACTGTGATCTGTTTTTAATGAAAAAGCAATAAACGTCAAGTTTAAAGAAAAAAGGAAAAAAAAACACCCCTCAAGTCGTGAGTAAACTGTTATTTGTTGGCAGCACTGTTCGACAGCAGTTTGTCCACCTAAATTCAATCTCATGCGGAGTGCACTCAGAGCCTCACTGTCTCGTCGTTTCACACTTCAGTGACGGTCCAACCTGATTTCCAGAGTTTCTGCACGTCTTGGATCAAGAGTCTCTGCAGCTCCGACGCCTCTCATCGTGTTTCATTCTTTCAGCGAACATTAGCGTTTAACCCTCCGAACCCCAAGCAGTTTACTCCCGTCACATTTTTCCTCACCGTGGGCTCATTTTTACCGCAATATAAAGCCATACATCTTTATCAAACGGAACAACTGTAAAGGAGAGAATTTTGAAACGTCTTCTGTGCAGAATGACACAGTTATGATGCCACAGAGAGACAGAAATGACACAAAATGATGCTAAAATGACAAAAAAGGAGCAAACTAGATGACAAAATTACACATAAAGATGCAAAAATTACACAAAATGACAAAAAAAAACATGGAAATATGACACAAAAAGATGCAAAAATAACAAAAGATGTGGATTTTTTTGAATGACACGTGAATTTTAGTGATTTTGATGAAATGTCACAATTCTAAATTCATCCCGTCACACAGAAATTTCTAGGATCTTCATTAAATTGAAAATCTGATGATTGTTTCTGTTTCTACAGTTGGTAAATGGTACCTTTTTTTTTTTTGGCAATTTCTTTCTTTTTTTTTCAGCTCAATCTGAATATTAGCTGGAAAGTCCCTCAAAACGGTTGATGAGTCACTCATGGCTCGTCAGTGGCATCGAGAAACTGACAGTGTTTTGGTTTTTACAGAACCTAGTTTGCACAAATGGTTCATTTTTGCCAAAGTTTTAAATAAGACAAGAAGTGATTTTGATGAAAATGCACAGGTTTAAGCTTATTTTTGTCTGTTTTCCCGACTGTAATGCTGTAAAACAATGGTGGCTCCTCACACTATAGATATTTTACTGCATATATTTTGGATTTATTTCCACAAATGGCTCTTCTCCCAGAATTTCTGCCATGTGACTGTTGCTAACAACTGAGTCACTGATGGCTTCATGGTTGCAGTGAGGAATGGAGAATTTTTTTGCTTTTTAGAATCTGGTTTCTGCAAATGACTAATGTTGGGGTAATTTTTAAAAACAGACGTGCAGAATACAGCAGTGTTGTTAAAATATCATGATTTGAAGCTTAAATTTGGCTAATTTTCCAAAACAAAGCACACGTCTCACATGAACAGCTCAAGGACTGTTGAATATCTGATGATTCTTATTGTTTTTTTAAAGTTTGTAGCTCTGATAAACGGTGTAATTCTTTAAAGACAGCATGCCTTTTAAAAGCAGAGACACTGGGCTGAACTGCACAAACAAGGGAGGCTGCTGATGAGAAACACCGAGGAAACACGAGTCAGGTAAGAGAGCGTGAGAGAGAATACGAGATGAGAGAGGGCAGAAAACCATTTAGAGAGAACAAGCCGCTGTTAGTATTAAGAGTCCTGCAGCGTGGGAAGCAGCCGGACCTCCAAGAGCGCAGAAAAACTGCAGAAAAACCTTCGTACCTTCGAGGATGAGGCCCGGCCCTGCAGACAAAGAGGCTCAGAAACACCTCGTGGACCACAGAGCTGGATTTAAACCCACTCAGTGGAGTTATTAGCATTCATTACAGTCTGTGTATGGTTTGTTCGGGACCGAATGTTTTTCTGATAATTGTTGCGTAATAAAAGCCACACTGTTTCCGAGCCGCAACGTTACAAAACCCAATGAGAGGCTTGTGTTTTTAATTAGTCCCTTCCCCCCACTTTACTCCTCTTCCAACATTCCCCAAACGAGCGCTCCGGTTACAACACTGCTTTTGTTTCTGTTTGCCCCTCTCTCTCCGGCTTCTATCTCTGCATCTACTCTTTCTTCTCTCCGAGCAAATGTGCACACACTTTTTCAGCAAAATAAAACTCCAGCTTGGCAGCACCTCCTCCGGCTCCATCAACATTTCATAAGGTTCACGGGCGGCAGCGCTCCAGAAAAAGGACTCCAGCAGAAATAAATGATGTGCTGCCTGGATTCACATGTGAAACGCTGCAGACTATCATATCTGCCCGCTGGTCGGGGTTTCAGTCGTCAAATGCACTGTTCTAGCCTTTGTCATTGAAAGCAGACCACCTGGAAGCTTTGGTGTTGGAGGATAAAAGGAGTCTTAAAAGAGCTTAGTGAGGTGAGATAATGCTTTTGACAGCAACCATCTAGAGTGCGTGAGCGTGCACGGCTTCACTTGGAGTTTAAGTGAGTTCAAAAGATTTTCTTTTTTGTCGTGTAAAGACATACCGTATACAGCAGAAGTGAGTAGATCCATAAATTAAATGCCATATTTGTGTAGCATTACAGTATTTGCATCACTTCTAAGTTGACCAGGAGGCATTTATTATTATATTATATTAAAAATACAGCCGCTAGCATAGGAACACGTATTTTTTTCAGTACTTCATATGTCAACATTTATGTTTGATGGCAGATTCAATCCTCCTCAGCATGGAAAATACCAAATTTCTTTATCTATTTATGTTATACTGGGCTTTACTGTCAGGACTTTGCATTCACTGTGGTAGTCCTGACCAGGAATCAACACAGGCCGCATACTGGTGCAGGTTGTAGTTTCACTTTGTCCTAATTTTGTGCTTTGGCTGGAATGTTGCTCTTCTTCAGACTTCTGTTTATCTCGTCAGACAGTATTTTGGTTTACCTACAGATATCCATGGTGCATCTATAAATGTCATCTCCCCAACACCTTTATCACTCATGCAGCCCCATGTCATGATACTGCCACCTCCGTGCTTTACTGCCAGGACTATTCACTGTGGTCGTCCTGATGAGGTTCACATCAAACAAGCTGGACTCCATCTGAGCTGAACAAATTCATCATCTGACCAAGGAATGTGCTCCCAACATCCATGAGGCCTCTTTTTAAGTATTTTTCTTGCCCTCCATCCACAGAAGTTGATGTTCTGAAGTGTCTGAGCTTCACAGAAACTCTAATTTCCACTGATGAGCCCTGTGTCAAGTTGGAAGCAGCTGGATTGCAGTTCACTGTCCATAGAGAGATTTTAGGAGGACGACCACTGCAGCTCTGATTAGTGGTGCTGTGGCTCCTTCCTTCCTTCCTTTTTTCTTAGTTCCTCCAGCAATTCTTTGCCATGTGGAGTCATGGATTACTTCACCGTCGGAACTATATATCCACTGTATAGTTTTGGTGCTCATTTTATAGCCACATTTATGAAGTTGATTGGAAGTCCCATTTAGTTTCCATAATCACAGGTGTATTCTTGCTTTGTTTCTATATTGGGTCTCGAATTTTCAAAACAGTCTTTCTCCGGTATTTGTTTTTGCTCATACATAAAAGGAAATACTCCACCGTTCATCACAGAAACAATGAAAATATTGAGCGGTGAAGCAATTTTGAATCATCTGACATTTAAGCGATACGTCTCATGGGTGTATTCCCGTCTGTTCTATACTGTATCTTGGCTTGACACCAGGCTGATCAGTGGCGATGAAGCTTCCAGTCCTGTTGGCACCAAACTCCACACAGCTGCTCTCGACAAGCGCTTCATAAATCTCCATTGCTTTTACATTTAAAAGGTGAAGGCCTCATTCTAGAAAATACACCTTAATTGATCCTCTTTACAACCGCCCTCTCAACTTCACCTCTTTCATTTATTTCATCAACTTTTATCTCTTTACTTCAAAAAGGACAAATTTACATTTCAAACCGGAGCTACGGCGCGGCGCGGCGAGCGGCTAGCGGCGCCGACGTTGTTTGATCAGGCTAACAGAGACACACATTCAATCAGCTGCCGACATCTTTCATGTAGGCCTATAGATTAGATTCTGAAGCCATTTGTTATGAGAGATGAATCATAGCTGCAGAACAGATTAGGGTCTTAGCCGCGACACATGGCATGAACGTGATTATTTCCATATTTAGCATTAGTTAGTTGATTGGAGTTTTGACAAAAAGTAAGGATGTGTGATTAGTCTGTGCCAGGTTCAATTCCCAGTTCATCATTTGTCACGCTGGCTGACACCAAAGCACATTATTAGGACCTAATCATGCCCATTTTTAGATGATCCCAAAAAGCAAGAATGTGATTTTGCCAGAATGCATCAATCTTTAATCACGTGGTTAAATGTTTTTGACAGCATTTCTGGTTAATTTGCTTGTACTCCTGCCTTTATTATCAGTCATTTTCCCATTGTTTGGTCATCTTGCAACCTCTAACCTTAAGAAATCAGTTTCACTTCCACAGCCCAAACATATTTCTCCCTCGTAGCGGCGTCTCGGAGAGAAGAAGTATGCAGTTTTTTTTTTCTAAACGCGCCTATTTCCACAACTGAAAAATGCATGACAGCATGCCACAGGATCTCTAATCACATCTCTGCTTATTTGGTTTGGTCTGGCTTTTGTTTGCTGTACCATTAGGCAGCTTGGTATTTATGACCTGGATAAAAAGGTAAAAAAGATTTGTGTAGCTTTTGGAGGGAAACACACGAGCCTGTGTCTCCTTATGTCTTCTTGTGCAACATTATAGGTTGGATTTTTTTTTTTTTTTTTTTAAACCTCTGAACCCAAAAACCTGCCACCAGCATAAAAAGGCACATTATCTTTTTTAAAATGTCAGAGCCAGAAACTGTAAAAACAGAAGTAATTGACAGATTTTTAACTTCCCGACAGACCTTAGACGAGTCAGATGTTCTGAAAAATAGTCTGAGCTTAACATCGCGATATTTCATCAAAATCCCTTTATTCTACATACTTTTTGTAATTATTTTATTTTTTCTTTAATCATAAACCTTTTATCAGAGCCAGAACCTGTAAATAGAAATAATCAGATTTTCGGTTTTAACATGTGACTGTTGGTTTCATTTTGGAAAATTTATGGAAATTTAAAAAAAAAAAAAGAAGAATAAAAAGCCCTGATCGACATATTGATATAAATACTGTTCTATTAACTCTCTGATCCCCAAAACCTGCCCGGCTGGTTTAAAACACATGTTTTATTTAAAATGACTCCCAAAATGACGCCATTTATCAAAACCAGAAACTGTAAAGTCATTGGATTTTCAACTTTTTAGCAGTTTTGAACTAATCATGTGTGACGTGTGGTTTCATCAGGACGATTAAACAAATCAAGTTTAAAATTTGGACTCTTTGCATCATTCTTGGCAGTTTCTTTTGCATCTTCTTGTGTCGTTGTTTGATTTTTTCTTGTTATTTCGGCATCTTTTGTGTCATTTTTTGGATATTCTTGTGTTTTTGTGTTATTTTTGCCTGTCATTTTTCCCCATTCTTTTTCTCTCTTTGTGACATTTTAACTGTTATACTGCACAGGACATTTCTGAATTCTCTCTCCTTCATGGTTGTTCTGTTTCCATAGAGGTGCAGGACTTTAGAGTGCAGTGAAAAATGAGAGTACAGCGAGTAACAATGTGACAGGAGCAAAGACACGCCCAGAAACCTTTGCCTTTACAAGCAGGATATAAATAAATTGCATTTCTTTGTTCATTTTTTATCAGTTTTCACACTTGAAACAATCCAAGTTGTACAATTTTTCACTTGGATGGAGAATCATTGTGCAAAGACTTTCTCTGCAAACTGTCAGAGAAGACAAGAGGTTGCCACTCTAAACTAAAAGCATGTAAAAGGCTCGCTGGCTCGCCGTTGTACAGTCATTTGCAGACTGAACAAACGAGATAAGCTTCAGTATCACCAGCCCTCAGTCATCACATGCCAAATAATAAACCACACTGAAAGGCTTCTGCTGCTGGTCATCAGCCAAACAGACTCCATGGTTACAAATCTTCATTCGCTCGTCTCGAGGAGTTTTAAAGAGGTCCGCTAAGAGCCTGGCAACCCGGCGCTCTCCCCTGGCCAGTAATTGTCCCTCATCAATGATTACACTATTCATAAAGCTCATAATTGTACAGCAATGTCACTTTATTACCGTCGGCAGCATTAATAGATCACAATTAGCAACAAGCCTCGATCCACAACAGCAAGTGAAAGAAGTTCAATCAGAAACACTTGCGTCAGTTTAGAGCTGCTGAGGCAGATAAAACGGATAAAGATTTGATGCTTTTTCATGTTTTAACCTAAAAAAATAACAAATATAACTGGAAGGACAATTGGAGACCAATATTCAACAACATAATGTTAAATAAAGTGACATACATGAGAATTTATTGGGTTCTTCATTTGCACACTGGCAAGTTTCATTAAGTTTAAAAGATCTGCTGCCAACCTACTGAATAAAAGTTTTGTTTTCTTTCAAAGGAAGAATATCAGTGACAGGCAGCTTTCAGAAAACATTCTGGTTTTGGACAGTCTTTACAGTTTTGGCGTGCGTTTTTTTTTAGAGTTAACGTGTAAATTAATATTTACACGTTAACTAGCAGTTATTATTACTATCTGTAAGTTAACAAAACGGGGTAATATACAATGAGTTACCATTTTTAAACCCTTAATATACATAGATTTTAGTTCAATAAATACATTTTCAAGGATGAATTACCATTTGTAAAAATATAGATTTTGATGTTTATTATTATTATTTACAGTTTGGGTCTGTATTTTTCTGTGATTTTACTGTAAAAAAAAATCTATAAAATAATATTGAATTTCTCTAAAAATCATGGTTAAAACAATTTTTCAAAAAAAAAAAAAAAAGTTAAGACAATTAATTTTTTCAGTGTTTCCTACCTGCACATTCTCTCTGAGGTCGGTTGCCTCCCTGAGCGGCTGTGTGGAGGCTCTGAAGAGTTCGTCCACCACCTTGATCCCGGTGGTCTTGGTGGTTGTGTACTCCCGGGCCTTCCTGCCCTTCCTGACCGACAGACCTCTCTTGTGGGCCTTCCCTCCGCCCCGCCGGTTGGTGATGGCTACGTGGACGAACAAGGTTGTATTGGGCAGAAACTCTCCGGTCAGGGACTGCAGCGGGACGTGTCTATAGCCTGGCTGTAGGCACTCAAATGGGATGGTGTACTGGCCGATAAACTCGTCTCCGATGTAGTCATCATCCAGAACCACAAAGCGCAGAACCGCCAGTTCCGGCAAATTGATTTGGAATTCAAAAGTCTCATCAAAAATTGGGTTGTCGCCGTTCTGGGACACAGTCTTGGTTCGTTGCTCAGCGCAGTCAGCTGGTATGCCGTGGATTTCCACGTAAATGTAGGGCTCCACCACGTCGCCTTTAGCGGCGGAACCTCGAGGTTTGGGCAGATTCTGGCCACTGATGACCTTGATGTGAAGAAGCTGGGCAGAGACTCCTGGCAGGGAGTCCCGAGCATTGGCACTAAAATATGACACCTCCTCCCTCATGATGGCTGGCCGCAGAACATACCCGCAGTTGCCATTTTGCCGGAACCAGCCGAGGTTGAGGTCCATCATCAGGCCCGGTGTCTGGTAGTTCATGGCCACAATCTGGCAGCCGCACTTCCAGAAGTCCTGTGGGTTCATGTTGCTGGCATCGATCCTCATCGGCGTAGGGTATATCCTAGAGAGGAAGCGCTTGTTGTAGCAGACGAATTCTTCTGGGAATTCATTGGCAAACCTGTTAGCATCTACCTCGTTGAGGGAGCATATCTCCCAGTATTTCTGCTCCCTCTTAGAGATCTCAAAGTCCCTGAACTGGACTGACTTGCAGAGTGACACGAGATCAGAAAGCTCCCTGCACAGTCGGAGCCTCTTACAGCCTAAACCATTCAGGTGGTCCTTCTCGTCAGCTCCAACTCTTCTGGACATTTCCAGACCTTCCTCCTCATCTGTCACATCCCCCTCGGCATCGGTGCAGTTGGGTGGCAGCTTCTTCCCCTTGAGGAGGATTTTACCCTTGAGTTTTTCAGGAGATGGCAGGTAGTTTTCCTCCTTGTTGGGTGAATCGATGTGCAGCTTGTCCCCAAGAATCTTCTTCATGTGTTGCGCCATGACCCTCTGCTGGGGGATGCAGCAGTGGGTCACCAGGCAGAGAATCAGGGGATACTCAGAGCTTTCAAAAGCATACTGGTTTATAATGTCCATAACTTTGGAGAAAGCTAACTGCGAGGCGACAGAGCTGCCAACGTACACAACAGGCTCATTATCGGGTCCGTCCCAGACTATGACCTCAATGCTGCGACAGCCCATCCTCAGAGCTCGGATGTAGCTGCTGATGTCCGACGAACCCCAGAAGTGGTCTTCCAGGAGGGAGGCATTATGCGAGGAGTTGATGTAGTAATGCGAGAGTGGCTGGGTCATATCCTGGCAAACACGCTTGTGCTGCGGGTCGAAGATGTGGCATTCAGAGGACAGGAGGTAGTGCGTAAAACCGTCGATGGAGAGGTAGCCCCTTTCCCGCCCTTCGGCAGACGGCTCGAATTTCTGAACAATCTCCCTGCACATATCCTCGGTTACAGCCTCCACGCCCTGCTCCACCTCCACGAACAGCATCAGATCTTTATTGTCCAGATACTCTTTGTTGCTGGAAAACTGCACCAGCAGGAAGAAGATCTCAGGCCGTGTGCAGAGTTCACAGTAAGCCTCCACAAAAGTGTCCATGTTGATCGCCTCCCCGTACTGGTCCTTCGCTTTCTGCAGCTCCTTGAACTTTAGCTCTATCCTCGCTTCTTTCATTCCCGGGTTGAGTCCCTTGATGATCTGGGTGGCTCTGAACAGGTCTATGTGCCCTTCCTTTTCCATATCTGCCAGTTCAAACACCGAGCCGATCCAGGATGTTCGTAGGCTTGGTTGGCTTGGCTCCACCATGTCGACTGTGTGGCGGCCGTAAGACACCAGATACCTCAGTCCCATCACCCAGGTGCTGACCACATCTGCAGTGGTGGCAACTAAATCCAAGGACTCATAATTATCTCCATAGATGATGGAGAAGGCACACTCATCCGGGAACTGATCTGAGAGACCGTTGCTTCGCAAAACCGGAGTTTTCTTTCCCAATCGGACCTCCTTGATGCTTTTGATTTCCAATTTGGCCTTCTCTGAATCCTTCTTTGACGGTTCCCAGCGGAGCCAGTGCATGTCTGGATCCAGCAGGAAGTAGCGGTTGTACATACGTGAGTTGGACCGGACCTTCTTCATCTCACAGCCCTCCATCATGAAGGCCATGCAGGCAGCAGTGCTGTTGATCTTGCGGTCGCTGGGCATCGAGCTGAAAGACACCGTCTTCTTCCTCACCTGCCTCTGCTTGGATCCATCCTGGAAACAGAACAGGAAGGGTTGGGAAAGAGAGAGTTTTCTCAGTTACATTTTGCATTTCAATTCGAGAAACAGCAGTGAATACAACAGTGTCAGTTGCACCTGGAAAGTCGATCAGTGTCATTGATCAATTCAATAAGCAAATCAGACAGGATGCATTTTTGTGTAAAAGTTATGCAGCACATCTAGGTTCAACCCTTTAGACCCCAAAACCTGCCTGTAGTTTATAAATGCACATTTTCTTAAAAAAAAAAAAAAAAGTCACCAAAATTACACCATCTATCAGAGCCAGAAACTGTAAAAACAAAACAAAAAAAAAGTTTTTGGTTCTCATAAATGGTGTATTTTTGGTAATTTAGTAAAGACAACATGCCCTTCCAACCTATAGCATGTAAAAGTGTGTTAAAATGCACATCTCCATCTCCTTTTCCAATAATTCTGCTCAGATTTTATATTGCATAACTTCATATGGAGGCAGAATATGTTCTGGTATTTTCCTCTGAGACAAATCATAAACTACTGTATACTGCATGAGGTCTGTTTCTTTTTTTAAACGGCTGCCCCTCGCTCTAATGACAGGGTGTAAAACTGCACATATGATTTCCAGTTTGGCTCGAGTCACAACGCTTTCCTTTCACAAACAAAGTTAAGGGCTTTAAAATCGGTTTCATGTTGCCTCTTAACTGCTAATGAGATTTACTGATTAAATATTCATCCTGTGGGCAACCTCTCATAAATTCGTCTCTTGCCAGCCAATTCCAAAGACGCTGCGATGTTTGTTGCAGCTCTGAGGAAACCGTTTCTCTTTCCATGCAGGAAAGAAGCCAAACTCGACGCTCCAAACTCCACCTGCAATGACACGGCTGAACTTTTGCAGCTTTCAGGTCTGTTTTAGCCTCGCTGGCAGAAAGCAGACAGTGCTGCCCTATTTCCACACAGGGCTGCAGTAAGCTAGATAGCCTGAATGCAGATGGCCTGATTTAGGACTTGGAAAATGGGCTTGTTGAATAATGCATAGTGCAGAGAACAGTGCATTAAAATCAAGCCTAAACCGATCCACAAATTACTGATAAAAAGTGTAGACACAAAGGTTTTGAGGCTGTCGTTGTTGGAAAAAGACTAAATTATTTTCCTTTTACTACAGTAACATTATAGTGGGGATGTTTGATTTCCACCAAAGCCTCCCGATCTGAGCTTTCTGTTTATCTATTTTACTTTTCAGAAATAAATCCACAGAGGGCAGAGGGCCGCGGGGGCTTCCCCTTATCTTCCACTCAAATCAGAGACTGTCCGGCAGATCTGATGGATCTCCCCTGAGCGACTTCCAGCCACAGCGAAGAAACACCTCCGGACCATCCGTCTTCCAGCCGACAGCCGGAGGCAGATGACGCCTGGCAGCTCATCACGATTAATGAGCACCGTTTGACGCCGAGCTGATGAAATGACACGATCATCGCTCTCCGGTTTTGTCCTTGTTTTACGACCTTTATCTTCTTCCCCAACACGTAGGCGTTTAATATCCTAATTTCAAAATGTGGACGTCTTCCGAGTTGGAGAAAAGAAGATTTCAGGAGAGATACAGAGAGTTCTTAAATCCTCTGAACCCCAAAACCTGCCAGCAGGTATGAAAAGGCATCTTTCAAAAGTATACAACTGATCATTGCTTCAAACTGTAAAAACAAGACAAATTGTTGGAATTTCAACTTTCCAACAGTCCTTGAACTGCTCATGTGTGACATATCTAAGTTTAAAATCATATTTAATCAAATCACTTTATTCTATTTAAACATTTGCCAACAGTGAACTCTTTGTATTAGCGGCATTCTATAAAAAAAATAAAAAAAAATAAAAAAAATCTATTTCTTGTTGCAACCCAAACGACTCGGCTGCAACCAACAGCTACATGAGAAAAGTTCAGGGACTTTTCGGCTGAATGAACTGCAGGCAGTGTTCACACAAAGCAGAGTGGCTCGAGAGGAAACTAATTAAAAATGGAAATAGCAAGCCATGCATTGTAAATAGAGGTTTGAAAGGCATGTGATCTTTACATAATTGGCAAATTTACACCATTTGTCAAAGACATAGAAAATGATCAGATTTAGATTGTCCTTGAAATACTCATAGACATGCTGTTCAGGAAACCTAACCACATATGGTAAATGGACTGCACTTATATAGCGCTTTTATCCAAAGCACTTTACAATGTGTTCCTCATTCACCCATTCACACACACATTCATACACTAATGGTGACAGAGCTGCCATGCAAGGTGCTGCCTGTCATTGGGAGCAACTTCGGGGTCTGTGTCTTGCCCAAGGACACTTCGACTGTGGATGGGCCGGGGATCGAACTGCCAACCTTACGATCAGAGGACAACCACTCTACCACCTGAGCCACAGCCACCCTCATATAAGCTTGTGATTGTAATATTTCACCAGAAAAAGTCCCAAAAATAAACAACTTGATGCATCCAGATTGTGTAAAAAAGTAAAAAAAATCAGTGCTTCTTAATACAACCAAAAAGGCATCAATGATTCAGCTGCATCAAACAGTCATGTGACCAAAATTAAAAAGCTTTTCTGTTCTGCCTGTGAGCAGATAATTTAAAATGCAAGTAGTAAAGTGCGACCAATTTTTTTCCAGTATTTGTAACACCTGGTGTACACATTGATGCCATTTTTTTCTTGTAAGGTAAATAATCCAAAAAATGTATTGCATTATAACTGCACAAGAGACACTTTTAAGTTCTCTTTCTCTTTTATGGCCATTTCCATTGAGATGCAGGACTTCATATTGTAGTAAAAAAAATGAGCCCACAGTGAGGAAAAAGGTAAATAAAACACCCAGGGTGCAAAGCGTTAATGTAGATAAAACTGTGTCTATTTTAGTCTGTTATCTTTTGACAGATGCTCAGCTGTGGCCCAAAGACGCCTGGACCACCCAGGTCAGAAGTGTTGCCCACTATGAGTTAAAATAGAGCTATTCAAGCATTTACTTTCTCCCCCTCGAGAAATACTTGCATGCAATTGTTGTGAGAGCGAGTGCCAAGACCCACAGGCACATGGTGATGCATGTAGCGCTGCCAAGACTGAGGGGAAGGACGCTGCTGCTGCTGCTGGTTCAGCTGAGGAAAAATACCGTTTCACGTCCAAGCCGAGGTAACCAGACCACAGAACTGATGCTACAGCTGCACGATGTATTGTTGTAGCATCAGCGCTGCAAAGGGGGAACGTGTGCAACAGTCAAGTGAGGCAAAGCAGCTTAAACCCATCACAACTGCTTTGGCTCCTCGACACAAAAAGAAAACTCACATGGTTCTCATTTGCCATGACTAATCTACACAAGAAGTCTGTCGGATAGAACGTAATTTACTCAGATTTTTTTTTTTTGGAAGACAAAGTTTGTCGACCTGCTGGCTCCACATGTGCACAGCGAAATGAGCCAAAAGGAAGATTTGGTTGCAAAAAAAAGAAATGCAACTGTTAAAGGGACATTCATCATGTTTAGGCTTCTTATAAACGTGACCAAATGTGATATTGAGGTTTAAAATGCTCTGCTCACAGAAAACAGCTCATGTAGGTGAAATAAGTTTCCGTTAATCTGACGTTACAACATCTTATTTCACTCTTTTGGAACCAATTTTTGGTCTCACGGCTGTCTGAGCTGGTGCAGTAACTGATGGAGACTAGAAGCTTCTCTGACAACAGCCGACTAGCTAGCTGCTACTGTAGCCTGAAAGGACAAAAATCTGCCCAAAGCTTATCAAAAATTGTCCTAAATAATGAAAATTCCAAAAATATTTTAGAATATGTCTATTTTCACAATTAAAGTAAAGCAAATCTGGTATTAGAACACCTTATTTCACTCTCGTCAAACAAATCTTTGGTCTCAGAGCTGCTGCAGTAACTGAGTGGAGACTAGAAGCTTCTCTGTGCACCGCCGACTAGCTAGCTTCTCCTGTCCCCTGAAATGACAGAAATCTGCCCACGACTAAACAAAAATTGCCCAAAATGACAGAATTAGTTATTTATGACAAGTCGAATTGAGTAAATCTGACATTACAAGACCTTTTGTTACTCTTTTCAGAATCATTTTTGGTCTCACGGCTGTCTAGAAGCTTCTCTGTGCACATCCATTTAGCTAGCTTCTCCTGCATGTGAGGCGTTTAGGGAACATTTTTTAAATTATAGTGTGTATTGTGAAGATGTTGTTTAGCCAGTGAAGACTTTTGGGTACAATATGTTGTATATTTAGCTTCTAGATAGGCTAAATTCAGGTTAAGACTATTTTAAATCTTATTCTGATGCAGATTTGAGTATTAGCAGGAATGTAGCACAACGTTGCAGTGAAAGCAGAGCTCTGTTTATTTAAATGTGAATGTGAAATCTCTAGTTGGGGTAAATAATTATGAATTTTGTCCATAATCCTGGAGCCCTAATCAGTTGTATAGAAATATTTCTGCTAGAAAAAGGATAATGTCGACCACAAACAGGTTCTCCGTCTGCAGAGATCTGAGTGCCATCTAAGTAAAAACGATTTTGGATGGCTTTTCCAGTGTTACGTCACATAAGAAGGCTCCAAACAGCTTATTGCTATTTTCTACGCAGTTGTACTCCTGAATACAAGTCATCTGGTGAAAATTCCTGTGCTTTTTCACCATGTATCGCAGAAAAATAAGACGTCGTAATGCCCGTTTGGTCCAGCGCCGTGCCGCCCTGACCGATGCGAGCCTTATCTTTGTCTCTCCTTGTCAGGTTCTAATTTCCTCCATAAGATCCTCCACCGCCGCTCATCACAGCGGGAGATAAATCCCCAGGCCACAATCAAAAGCTCACATTTCAGCCCAAATGTCATGTTTTTTAATCTCAGCAGCAGCCTGCTCCTTTCACCTCGTGTGAAAGAAAATAACTCCTCTGGTGGGTTAACTCCAGCGGCCGGCCGGCCGGCCGGCCGGCCGGACGTTGACGCTGGTTTTGGGGATACATGAGGCTGAGAGTGGA